CAAGCATGCAGCTGCATCTGACTGAGCTGAGGATCCGACCACAGCCGCACCACAGCCACGAAATCGCGTCGAGCCTGCCTTGAGCAGATGGCGAGGCGGCCGGGCCACCGGCCAAGACAAGGCGGACTTGAGCAGGTCCAGGGAGCTGCTTGCCTTGGACAATCAGAAGGGAATGGCAGGCTTCCACAAATACATTGACTGCCAGCCTACCGGTCGGCCTTGCAAGGTGCCCTTTGCCTCCTTACTGTGCTTTGCTTTGTTGTGAATTTGTTTTAGCTTCCTCTCGCTGTCCAACGTCGCGACTGCTCGAGTGCTTACGGCGATGACGCAGTCATTCAAAGACACCTACGCTCCAGAATTGTCAGCCCTCTCCAGTCACCGCCCGTCCTTTGATTCCCGAGTTCTGCCCCTAACCTAATCTCGAAGAGAGGACATCAAGACGATCGCGAGATCCCTCGAGGCCTTCCGCGAATCTCACCTGTCAGAAACCACAGACATTGCTCACGTCCTCTGTCAGCCAGGACACCCAAGAGAAGAAAAGACACTGGCCAGTTCGACTGACATCGCAACCCTCGTAAGTCATGAGCCGTCGTGGTGACATCTCCGCATAGACTGCAGGGACTGCAAGGACTCGCTATGCCAAACATGGAGCTTATACTAGTCCCAGCCTTCAATCAGTTCTGCATGCCACCAGCTATTGTCCGCCCTTCCCACATCCCCGAATGAGAAGAACAAAACAGAGTGGACACAATCTTGACCAGTTTACCCTAGCTTCATATACAAATACCTCATCCAGCGGCCCCTCGAGCCCGTCCCTGACGATGCCAACAAGCTTCAGATATCCGCCAGCTCTCTCGAGAGCCTTACCAAGCACCTGAAGCTGCCCGCGGCGTTCATCTTCGCCCTCACCCGCTACTACCTGCCCAACGGACGAGGCAGCCGCCAGATCAAGATCGGCGACAAGACATGCCACGACACGTGGTATTTTCTCCCAGTCCGGGTTCAGGTCGAGGCAGTCGGCACCAACCCTGCGGCGAACCCGCCCGCGACCACTGACGACGATGACGCCAGCCAGATGAACCCCTTTTACAAGCTCCATCTTCCGGACGTGCAGAGAGATATCCACCGGTCGTGCGTGGGTATCTTCTCGCGCGTCGACCTGGACTTGCAGCGCTTCACATTCGTGGCCTTTGACTTTATGCACGGCCGCTGGCCCAAGGTCGCCCTCGAGCCAAGGGAGCGCATCGGTGACGTTCTCAAGCGCCACGCCCAGAGTTCCGACGCCAGCTTTGGCCGCGAGCACTGCGTGCACCTCGTCTACCTGACGAGCGCCACCCGCTGGTGGACCAATTCTCTGTCGAGCGTCAACGAGCAGCTCATTGCATACGAGCGGCGCCTACAAGCCGAGCTCGACAGGGCCGGCACCACGCCCGAGTCGGTCCTGACGGAGCTCAACAGAGCGCTGCACTCGATCGCCGCGCATCTCCAGCGGTACCTGTCCGAGCTCAAGTCCCTGCGGGGCATCGCGGCCGACCTCTCTGCCAATCACGCCTCTGTCCACGCGAACGCCGCCGAGCATGGCAATGAGGACGCATTGAAACAGGCGGCCCGCGGCTTTGCCCAGGTTCTGTCGCAGGTCGATGCGGCCCACGAGCTGGCCGTGGAGCTCGAGAAGAAGACGCAGAACATCCTGGCCCTTGTACGTAGCTCCTGCCGCCGCCTCTGCCATTCATCGAGTCCTGCTGATTCCTCTCGGCAAAGCTGTTCAACAGGATCCAGATCAGCAGCGACCGTCTGCTCGTAGCCAACGGGGAAGCAATGCAGGGCATTCTGAGAGCCATGCAGGAAGACGCCAGCCTTGCCCAGCGGATGGCGAGGGAATCGCACAGGCTCGCGCAAGAGATGAAGAAGGACAGCATTGCCATGAAGACGGTAGGATTTCGCCTTTGCACGTGTATAGATGCCGGCAGTTGTTGATGTATGTATGTTTGTGCAGATCGCCATCGTCACCATGTTCTTCTTACCAGGTGCGACATTTGCGGTACGAACATCCAGTGACCAGGGGTTCTCACCATTTCTCCTGCTAACATTCGGCAGACTCTGCTCTCTATGCCATTCTTTAGCGACAACGAGTGGATGGGCCACGCGTCCCGGTTCTGGATCTGGGTCGTCTTCTCTGTTCCGTCAACTGCTGCTTGCTTCATCTTCTACAGCATCTGGCGGAAGCGGGCTCAAAAGTTAGTCAGGGAGGCGAGGATGGTTACCGCTGCAAGGCTTGCCGAATATTCGGCAAAACGGACGC